TCAGCCTGACCTCACAGGATGCTGCAGAGTGTGAATGGCATCATAGAGCTTGTCCCACCCAGTAGCAATGGGACCAGGCTGTTATACCCATATCGTTGACTAACAGCTGCAAGGTGGTATGTATGGGATTGATGGGGGTCACAGAACCTCCCAAGCATTTCAAGGCAAGGAGACCTCCAATCAGCCAAGAGTGTTCATCTGAAGGAGGGTGCAGCTTGGAGACATTAGTGGCCAACACCTACAGAAGCTGGGGTGGGTGCACTCACAGTGAAAAGGAGTGGAGCAGGGCTCCCGCAGCATCTATTACTGGGGAGAGTCAAGAAGTGTCCTTTTTACTTCATACCAAGTTCGTCTGTGTATTTGTTTTAACCAAGAGAATGAATTATTTGTGTAAAACAAAACTCATTCAGTGTCAGATCCTGGGTCCTTTACTTACTAAAACTGACCTTGGCCAATGTGACCTCTCTGAGTCTCTGTTTCCTCATCTGCAAAATAGGCTTAGTAATATCTATTGCCTGAGGTTGTTGGGAGGATCTGTTGAGAAGGTTCCTAGACTCGTTAGCTAGCAGGTAGACTGGGTGTCCTCTCCTGGACGGGGATTCTAGCTGTCCCTCTGCCCCGACCTGGCGTATAACCTGATGCAGCCCCTTCTCCCCTTTCCACCCTCTCCTTTCTATTAAAGGGCTAGGCCAACAGCAGAATGTTGGGTGAGTCTCCAGCTAGAGATAGAGAATGAGAATTATGTCACAATTTTGAATCCACGATAGGCCCCAAGCCAGGCAACCTATTGAAATAGGTTGCTTTTATTTTTTATTATTTTTTCTTTCTCTTAGAAAAATAATTCATCTGTCAGCTTCTCATTCAGGTGTTGATTGTGTCTCTGGAGTAAGGAAATTCTTAGCCAGGCCAGAGGATTGGGATCCATGGGGCAGGGAAAGGAAGTGATGTGGTTGCAGGGTCAGTCTCAACTCCGGGCATTGGCTCAGGAGGGGTGGTGGCAACTTCTGGCTGCTGGCTGTGTTGGCCCCTCTGCCCTGCTCCCCACCAGGCCCTGCCAGCTCTGAGGAGCTATAATCTGAACCCAGGTGGATCCCCCCAGAGCCCAGTACCCTGGCATTTCTTTAAAAAAAAACTTCAAACTTTTATTATAGAAAAAAATGCATGCTCATCATTGCACCTCTGGAAAATCCAGAGAAGCAAAGAGAAGAAATCGCCTGTAAATCCACCACCCAACGATAGTGTCGGTTGACTTTTTGACATTATTCTGTCCAGCTGGCCTTCCTTTTTGTGCATTTCTAAACATGGCTGAGATTATGCTGCATGTCCAATCTCATATCCTGCTTTTAAAAATAATATTCTTTATTACACAATTAATACAGCA